ATCGTATGCTTTTTTATAATCTATGTAGCCTGTGTGTATATTACTTTTGTGTTTTATTGTATGTCTCATTATAGTACTGTCTATTATTAGCTGTTCTTTGCATCCCTGGCTTTGTTTCCTGCATCCTTTTTGCTCTTCGCTGATGACTTTGTGCTGTGTTAAGTGTTTGTCTATTTATCTGCATATTGTGCCTGCTATTATTTTATATAATGTCGGTAGGCATGTAATTGGTCTATAGTTTGCCGGGTTTTGGGTGTCCTGATTTTTCGGTTTTATTATTATTACTATTAATATTATTATTATTATTATTACTATTATTATTAATTTACTATTTATATTTTGTTTAAATATTAAATTTGTACTTCAGAGATGTGTAAAATGAAAATTCAGGTAGCTCAAATTGTCAATTCATAAATTCCTCTTCTCCACGAATCTGTTTCATCGAAAATTATTTTCTTTCGTTAATATTCAACAAATTTTTTGGACTCTTCAAAACGAGTCATTAAATTAAATTACCCCCGATATTAAATGTCTTTCAATTATGTTCGTTATTTAAATTACACGGCGAGCAATATTAACGGTACTCGTTATACACTATCTTCGAGAATGTCACTTCATAAGATTAATTTCTGAATATAGAAACTCCATAAAAATTCTTTTCAACAGGTAACAGAGGAATGTGATTGATCGACGAGAAAAATAACATCGAAATTGTTATCAGTGTTATAAGAAATTACATAACTACTCCGGAGAGATCTTGAAGTTTTTGACAAAAGGAAATATCTCAAGTTTACATTCAATTTAATCTAAAAAGTAATGTAAGAAGCTTGATAAATTTCATTCGATGAAATTAATGTACCTGACTATTCGAATGCTAGATTGGAAACCAAAAGCAATTGTAAATACAACTGCTACATCTAAAATTAATTTTCATTCGCATTAGAACTACAAAGAGTCTAAGGAAGATGAATGAACGAACGCATTCGATATTAATCATAACCTAGTGGCAGATTATACCGTTCTATCAACAAAATCCACAAGATATATCACTGAGCAATATTGTTTTATTGCATAGGATTCACAAGTTTTTAGTAAATCGTTTTAATATTTTAGTGTGCACTCATTGCATTATACATTTATTTATTTATACAGTAATTAATAAATAATAGAATGACAATAATAGAATATACAAATATTCTACACTATATATTTATTTATTTATACAGTGTAGAATATTTGTATATTTAGTATCATTCTATTATTTATTAATATAGTATAGAATATTTATTTATTTCACTTCATTTAATTATTTATTAATATAGCAATTAAAGAATATAAGATATTTATTAATTTTATTTAATTTCATTACTCAATATAGTATTAATATAGTATAAAATATTCATTTACTCGATTTCAATTTACTATTTATTATTATGATTTCATTATCAATTAATATAGAATTAATGTAGTACAGAATGTTTGTCTATTCAAAATAATTGCAAACATTATGAATTTATTACTAAAATATTGAACGTTAACCCCTTGTACCAAAAATATTTTCGTTCCATCTACCTACACTCTAATACACTTCCTAGTGGAAGATTTTTTTAAACTAACAGTTTTGTTTCAAAATCAAAACAATTATAAACACACGTGAATCTATAAATTCATATTTTACAGAAAATACGTGTATATATACATATAATATAATTCACGAAACAACAGAATAAAAAAGAATATAATAAGACATATGAAATAAAGAAAAAAGAAAAAAATATATATATATAATTGTGCCTATAATTATAAAAGTGGTATAAGTCAATTGAGTATAGAAATAGACATTTTAAGGAAACAGCAAATAAAAAGAAAATATGATTAATTGCGTTGAAAATAAAGAAAGCTATGGTCAGGATGAAAATTTTCTAAATTATTTACCTGTAATACTCATGAAATTAACAACGTATTAACAATATCACAGTTTAAACATTCGAAATATCGAAATTAAATAAGGGAATGTCTAGAACTAATGATTCCATTGAACGAATTATCGTATCGAAAGAAACCCTTTTCCAATCCAAAAATACATTCATACAAAAATTAAATTGATGTGTAATATATGTGCCTGTGATTATGAAAGTGGTCAAAGTCACTTACATTTGCTTCTGAAATATTAAAAGCTTCGGCCTTTAAATACGTCATAAATTATAAAATTAATTGCGATAAAGCT